ACAACACAACCCACGGTGAAGGGGATCTGGACAAGTAATTAGAAGAGCTGAACTGAATATTAGTAATATTTGTATACGTCTAGGGGATACAAATATCGTATCGTAGCGTAGGCGAGTAACATGTGTTGTTTGGGGTACAGAGTGCCATTTCTGTTCAACTTTGCGTCTCGTATGGCCTTTTCCAGCAGGATGTTAAAAAGATCACACGACAAACTGTCACCTTGTCTGAATCCTCATTTGGTATTGAAGAGCTCCGATAGGTCCTTTCCGACTTTAACTGCTGACCTTGTGCCCCTTAAAATTATCCTGAATAGCCGTATTAATTTTGCAGGAATGCCGAACGTACATATGGCTTTAAACACCTCTGAACGGATGGGGCTGTCGAATGCGGCTTTATAGTCGACGATTAGGTTGTATGTGACGATGTGTTTTTCAGGGGTCTTTTACAGAATTTGGCGCAAAGTGAAAATATGGTCAATGGTGGATTTGCCATGTCAGAAGCTGCACTGGTATGGTCCAATGATGCCATTAACCATTGGCTTTAAACGTTCACACAGCACACGGGATAGCATAGTCGGAGACCCACTTAAGCAGACTCCTTTTCAATTTGTTCAAAGGTGGCTGTTACCGCTCGTAATGTTCGACCCATTATATCGATGTCATTGGCATAGGCGAGTAACATGTGTTGCGTGGGGTACAGAGTGCCATTTCTGTTCACCTTTGCGTCTCGTATGACCTTTTCCAGCTGGATTTTAAAAAGATAACACGACACACTGTCACATTGTCTGAATCCTCGTTCGGTATTGAAGGGCTCCGATAGGTTCTTTCCGACTTTAACTGCTGACCTTGTGCCCCTTAAAATTATCCTGCATAGCCGTATTAATTTTTCAGGAATGCCGAACGTACATATGGCTTTAAACACCTCTGAACGGATAGGGCTGTCGAATGCGGCTTTATAGTCGACGAATAGGTGGTATGTGACGATGTGTTTTTCAGGGGTCTTTTACAGGATTTGGCGCAAAGTGAAAATCTGGTCAATGGTGGATTTGCCATGTCTGAAGCCGCATTGGTATGATCCAATGATGTCATTGACCATTGGCTTCAAATGTTCACACAGCACACGAGATAGCATAGCCGTATTAATTTTGAAGGAATGCCGAAAGTAGACATGGCTTAAAACACCTCTGAACGGATAGGGCTGTCGAATGCGGCTTTATAGTCGACAAATAGGTGGTATGTGTCGATGTGTTTTTCGGGGATCTTTTCCAGGATTTGGAGCAAAGTGAAAATCTGGTCAATGGTGGATTTGCCATGTCTGAAGCTGCATCGGTATGGTCCAATGATGTCATTGACCATTGGCTTCAATCGTTCACACATCACACTGGATAGCACTTTATATGCGATGGAAAGAAGACTTATTTCTCTATTGTTGGCACATATCGACGTGTCTGTTTTTTTGTGCACGGGACACAGGATGCTGAGATTCCAATCATTGGGCATGCATTCATCTAGCCAAATTGTACTAATCAACTGGTGCATGCTGCTGACCAGCATCTGGCCACCAGTCTTGAATAGTTCGGCTGGTAACCCATCGGCACTTGCTGCTTTGTTGTTCTTGAGCGGATTAATTGCTTTTATGACCTCATCTTGGTTTGGTGGTATACACTCTATACCATCATCTCTTATTGGTTCGGTGGTATCCTCTTCGCGGCTACTATTTGATACGAGAAGCTTTTCAAAATGTTCTTTCCAGATGCTCAACACGCTGTCTGTATCTGCCACCAGGTTTCCTTCTACATCTCTACAGGAGGATGTGCCTGCACCAAAGCCTTCGGTTTGGTGTTTTACTCGTTGGTCTTAATTCTGAATCCTGTACATCTCGATTTGCTCACGCTCACGTTTTTCTTGTTCTTTCTTCTTTTTTCTGAAAACACGTTTCTCCTCTCTAATTTTCTCCTGATAATTCTCCATCACGTTACGTGTTGCTACTGTCTGCGATTTGCTCTTTTTTGGCCTAAAAAATATTCTTTAATAAATCCACGCCTCTTTGGTTGGCCTAAAAAATATTCTTTAATAAATCCACGCCTCTTTGGTTGGCCTAAAAAATATTCTTTAATAAATCCACGCCTCTTTGGTTGGCGTCCACGCCTCTTTGGTTGGCATAACAAATATTCTTTAATAAATCCACGCCTCTTGTAGAGCCCTAAAATATTATTTTCTAAATCATTACCTTTCTACCAAAAAATTTCCCATAAACTCAATTCCGTATCCAAATGTAATCATATGCCTAATGCCGGAATATGTTCTATGATTTTATTTAAATTATTACCAGAAGGGTGAAAGAGAGAGAAGAAAAACATGCACATCCTTTTTCCATATCCCCAACGATTTCCTTTAATGTTTATCATTATAACAGCCAACGACAGGTATGGCCAACAAAAATACAGCAGGGCAAAAAAACCAAACCGGGCTTCTACAATTTTATATTTGGCGATTGCATTGCATTTTCGGTAGAGGTCATAAAAACAGTAGCTGTATTTTCCACAATTTATATATAATTTTTGACCCCAAAACCATTTGATACGGCCAGCAGGAAAGCAGGCCATCGGTAACTAAAAACCCGGTGCTAAGACAACAACAACACCAACCGACAGCCAACATCCAACCAATGTTCCAATGCAATTTTAGGCCAAAACAATATTTTTTGCATAAATATTTTCTGGTAATAAATGCCGCACACACACATACATATGTGGGTGTGTGTGTGGTTATACATACATATGAATGGCAAAGGACTTTTGTTTTTATTTGTGGCCCAGACGCTGATATGAATGGCCGAAAGAATAGCGGGGGCAATGAAAGTAAATAAGTGGTGTACCCTGCACTGATGATGAGGCCCTTGTAATTGGCAAAATATGGAAGGTATAATAATTAGGGGAAAGGAACCAAGAGGACTCATTTTTTATTTAATTTAAAAGGGTCCGTAAGAGGATTTATAAAAGAATATTTTTTAGGGCTACCAAAGAGGCGTGGATTTATAAAAGAATATTTTTTAGGGCTACCAAAGAGGCGTGGATTTATAAAAGAATATTTTTTAGGGCTACCAAAGAGGCGTGGATTTATAAAAGAATATTTTTTTGGGCTTCAAAAGAGGCGTGGATTTATAAAAGAATATTTTTTTGGGCTTCAAAAGAGGCGTGGATTTATAAAAGAATAAAAGAATATTTTTTTAGGGCCGAACAAAGAGGCGTGGATTTATAAAAGAATATTTTTTAGGGCTACCAAAGAGGCGTGGATTTATAAAAGAATATTTTTTAGGGCTACCAAAGAGGCGTGGATTTATAAAGAATATTTTTTAGGGCTACCAAAGAGGCGTGGATTTATAAAAGAATATTTTTTAGGGCTACCAAAGAGGCGTGGATTTATAAAAGAATATTTTTTAGGGCTACCAAAGAGGCGAGGATTTTCAAAATTTTCTTCATTCCACCCCTCGTATGTTAAAGTGGTTTTAGTCATCAACATGAAATAAATGAAATCTAACATGTGTAAAAACGTCGCTTTTTCCAGCTATTCATACATTTCAAAGCTTGCGAATTAGTTTAGGGGTTTCGGAGCGTGTTATAAAATAGTGGCATTGAAGGGCCTTAATAAGAAAATGAAATTTTAAATCCAAAAATGTTCATATTGGATGACGCATAAACAAAATAAAAGCAGTGAGCGGAGCCGTATTGTCGGACGGGGCCGACCAAATGATACCCTACACAACTTCCACGAAAATCTAAATTTCGGTGGTTCTATACATGCAAAATTTCGTGAATATTGGTCCATATTTGTGGCCTGTATCGTGTTTACAAATTATAATGGACAGACGGACGGACGGAGACATATGACTAGATGGACTCAGCTAGTCGATATATGAAGATCGGTATACTTAAAGGTAGGTCTAGGACCAATATTTCGCGGCGTTACAAACTCTTGGGGCTACACAAAGCTATAATACCCTGACAATATAGTTGTGTAGGGTATAAAAATCCACGCCTCTTAAAGACCCTTAGAACAATTCTTTTTAGAAATCCACCCTTTTTAAAGAGTTTTAGAGAAATGCTTTAAAGATGCTCTTATTGAGCCTTAAAAAAATTCTTTAAAGAAATCCACGCCTCTTATTGATGGTTCTTTAAAGAAATCCACGCCTCTTATTGAGGCTTAAAAAATTCTTTAAAGAAATCTACGCCCTTTGAGGCCTTTAAAATATTCTCTACAAAATCCACGCCCTTGGAGGCCTTTAAAATATTCTCTATGAAATCCACGCCCTTTGAGGCCTTTAAAATATTCTCTACAAAATCCACGCCTTCTTTAGAGCCTTAAAAATATATGCCAAAGGCCCTCTTAGAAAACTTGTAACCTCTTTGGCAAATCCTCCTCTGCTCCCATTTCCCTGCTAATCTATTTGTGTGTGTTCCGCCATTCTGGCCATTATAGAATTGAATCATATGTGGAGGTAATGTAAGCACATATCCGTTACCGGTTTTTATGTCATTTTACATGCTAACACAAATATTTTTCCACTCAACGGACACACACACACACTATGACACCCATATACTAACACACAGAGACAGACACACAGGTCTACACAACACGGTTACCAAAGCTATTGGAATCTCTGAACTTTTTTGTGTGTGTTCCTGAGTACCTAGGTATGTGGCCTGCCACAAATCCCGCTGTTTGGGTGGGTTGTGGACCCTGCCCTGCATGGTTTTTATACAGATTTCATTGAAAAAAAAGTAAAAAGGTGGCAACTGAAACATGGCCATTAGTTCGGCAGGGAAAATAACATCAACGAAATGAACAACATGGAAATAGTTGGGAAATGTTGGAAACCTTCGAGGAGGGGGGAATATTTTTATTTTAAAATTTAAAAATGAAAGAAAATTTGTAAGCTAAAATTAATAATTTAATTTAATAATTTATTTCAATTTTATTATCTCATTTCCTTTCAGTTTCCCATGTTGAAGGCACCAATTTGGTATTGCCCAGCGTTAAGAGGCAACATATGGGAGCCTATCTTTGTATAGCCTCAAATGGCGTACCGCCATCGGTTAGCAAGCGGATAACATTAATTGTGCACTGTAAGTATTGGAATTAATTTTTAATTTAATAAAAATTAGTTTTTTTCTTAATTTAATTTTGTTATTTATTTATTTTTTTTTTTTTTTTGCTACTTTCAGTCCCTCCCATGATCACAGTACAAAATCAATTGATCGGAGCTGTGGAAGGCAAAGGTGTAACACTGGAATGTCATTCCGAGGCATTTCCGAGGGCCATCAATTATTGGACAAGGGAAAAGGGAGATATTGTGAGGCCAGGTAAGAGGCATAAATTTATTAAAGAATATTATATTTTTTAAGGACTGCTATAAGATTTAAAAAAAAAAAATATTTTTTAGTGACTACCATAAGGCGTAGATTTGTTAAAAAATGTGTTTAGTGACCTCCACGAGGCGTAGATTTGTTAAAAATATTTTTAGCGTCCTCCACAAGGCGTAGGCCTATACAAGGTGTAGATTTTTTTTAAATATTTCTAGGTTCCTCCACAAGGCGTAGGCCTATACAAGGTGTAGATTTTTTTAAAATATTTTTAGGTTCCTCCACAAGACGTAGGCCTATACAAGGTTTATACAAGGCGTAGATTTTTTAAAAATATTTTTATACAAGGTGTAGATTTTTTAAAAATATTTTTATACAAGGCGTAGATTTTTTAAAAATATTTTTATAGAAGGTGTAGATTTTTTAAAAATATTTTTATACAAGGCGTAGATTTTTTAAAAATATTTTTATACAAGGCGTAGATTTTTTAAAAATATTTTTATACAAGGCGTAGATTTTTTAAAAATATTTTTACACAAGGCGTAGATTTTTTAAAAATATTTTTATACAAGGCGTAGATTTTTTAAAAATATTTTTATACAAGGCGTAGATTTTTTAAAAATATTTTTATACAAGGCGTAGATTTTTTAAAAATATTTTTATACAAGGCGTAGATTTTTTAAAAATATTTTTATACAAGGCGTAGATTTTTTAAAAATATTTTTACACAAGGCGTAGATTTTTTAAAAATATTTTTAAGGGGTTTTTTTAAACAGATAGGAGGCGTGATTTTTAAGGAAATTTTTGAAAAGGACTTCAATAAAAGGCGTGGATTTTTAAGGACAATTTTTTTTGCAGATAGGCGTGGATTTTTAAGGACAATTTTTGAAAAGGACTTCAGTGCAGATAGGCGTGGATTTTTAAGGACAATTTTTGAAAAGGACTTCAGTGCAGATAGGCGTGCATTTTTAAGGACAATTTTTGGAAAGGACTTCTATGCATTAGGCGTGGATTTTTAAGGACAATTTTTGAAAACTACTTCAATTCACATAGGCGTGGCTTTTTAAGGACAATTTTTGGAAAGGACTTCAGTGCAGATAGGCGTGAATTTTTAAGGACAATTTTTCGAAAGGACTTCAGTGCAGATAGGCGTGGTTTTTTAAGGACAATTTTTCGAAAGGACTTCAGTGCAGATAGGCGTGGTTTTTTAAGGACAATTTTTCGAAAGGACTTCAATGCAGATAGGCGTGGATTTTTACCGACAATTTTTGGAAAAGGATTTCAATGCAGAATGGCGTGGTTTTTAAGGACACTTTTTGGAAAGGACTTCAGTGCAGATAGGCGTGGATTTTTAAGGACAATTTTTGGAAAGGACTTCAATGCAGATAGGCGTGGATTTTTACCGACAATTTTTGGAAAAGGATTTCAATGCAGAATGGCGTGGTCTTAAAGGACAATTTTTGCAAAGGACTTCAATGCAGATGGGCGTGGTTTTTTGAGGACAGTTTTTGGAAAGGACTTCAAGGACTATTTTTTGGGACTTCAATGCAGATAGGCCTGGATTTTTAAGGACAATTTTTGGAAAGGACTTCAATGCAGATAGGCCTGGATTTTTAAGGACAATTTTTGGAAAGGACTTCAGTGCTGATAGGCGTGAATTTTTAAGACAATTACTGGAAAGGACTTCAAGGACTATTTTTTAGGGCTTCAATGCAGATAGGCATGCATTTTTAGGGACAATTTTTGGAAAGGACTTCAAGGACTATTTTTTAGGACTTCAATATAGATAGGCCTGGATTTTTAAGGACATTTTTTGGAAAGGACTTCAATGCAGATAGGCGTGGATTTTTAAAAACAATTATTGGAAAGGACTTCAAGGACTATTTTGTAGGACTTCAATGCAGATAGGCCTGGATTTTTAAGGACAATTTTTGGAAAGAACTTCAAGGACTATGCTTTAGGACTTCAATGCAGATTGGCCTGGATTTTTAAGGACAATTTTTGGAAAGGACATCAAGGACCATTTTTAGGACTAGTTTTTAGTTAGTTTTTAAGGACAATTTTTGGAAAGGACTTCAAGGACCATTTTTAGGACTAGTTTTTAGTTAGTTTTTTAAGGACAATTTTTGGAAAGGACTTCAAGGACCATTTTTAGGACTAGTTTTTAGTTAGTTTTTTAAGGACAATTTTTAGAAAGAACTTCAAGGACCGTTTTAGGCCTAGTTTTTTAAGGACAATTTTTGGAAAGGACTTCAAGGACAATTTTTAGGACTTCAGTGCAGATAGGCGTTAGTTTTTTAAGAACTGAGACATAAGTCGTGAATTTGTAAGACTCATTTTTTAGGACTTCAGCGAAGCTAGGTTCGGATTTTTTAATGACTAGTTTTTTCAAAGACTTCAGAGAAGCTTGGCTCGGAATTTTTAAGGACTTCAGAAAAACAAGGCATGGATATTTATGGGCTAGTTTTTCAAGGGCTTCAAAAAAGTAGACGTTGATGTTTAAGGACTAGTTATTCAAATTTGCAAAAACTATCGATTCATTGACCTAGCGTAGTTTTGTCAGGAATAAAGTGTTTTTTTTTTTTGCAAGGTCAAATTGTTCAAAGATCTGGTGAAGTTTTTTAAAAGACTAGAAATTGATTTTGTATGGATTATTCTTTCAAGGGCCTGACGTACTCGTTTCAAGACCCTGTCCGTAAGTTTTTTTTTATGATTTTGAAAGGCATATTTCCTCAAGGACCTGGTATAATTTTTTTTCAAGGACTTGTCGTAATTGTTTGAAGCCGTAATTTTGTTAAGACTACTTTTTAAGGACCTAACGTGTTTTTTCAAAGACTAAATGGTTTTGTAATGGTTGTTTTTTTAAGGACGTGGCGTAGGTTTTATCCTTGATATTGTTGGGTCTTCAGATATATTAGGCGTGAATTTATTATCCTTAGTTGTCCCCAATTATTTATCGAATCTAATTGTATTTATTTTGAATTCCCCTCTCCTTCCTCATTCAGGTAGTAATTTCATATCGAACGTAACCGACATTGGTGATTATCGCAGTTCGGTAAAATTGCACATTAACCCACTGACCGATTCGGAATTTGGTGCTTACCGGTGTGTGGCGAAAAATTCGCTGGGTGATACAGATGGCACAATTAAATTGTACAGTAAGTATACGGAGAAAAAAAAATTAAATCAATATTTATTCAAAAAATTAAAAAAAAAATAATATATAAAAATATATATATTAATATATATATATATATATATATAATTTTTTGGCTAATAAAAAAATATATTTTTTTAAATTCTTTTTCAGAAATACCATCTAGTACGGTCAATGATGTGAACAGCTATGATCGGCATAAAGGTGAGTGGGTTGAATTTTGTAATTTTTTTTGTAATTTTTTTAAGGGTTCATATAGGTCTGAACAAGGCGTGGATTTATTAAAGAAATATTTTTAGAGGTCCGAACATGGCGGGGATTTATTAAAGAAATAATTTTAGAGGCCATATCCAGGCGTGGATTTATTAAAGGCATATTTTTAGAGGCCATATCCAGGCGTGGATTTATTAAAGACATATTTTTAGAGGCCATATCCAGGCGTGGATTTATTAAAGACATATTTTTAGAGGCCAACTGAGGCGTGGATTTATTAAAGAATATTTTTCAAGGGCCAACTGAGGCGTGGATTTATTAAAAAATATTTTTCAAGGGCGTGGATTTATTAAAGAAATATTTTTCAAGGGCCAACTGAGGCGTGGATTTATTAAAAAATATTTTTAAGGGCCAAGAGGTGGATTTATTAAAGAAATATTTTTAAGGGTCCAACTGAGGCGAGGATTTATTAAAGAAATATTTTTAAAGGGTCCGAGGCGTGGATTTATTAAAGAAATATTTTTCAAGGGCCGAGAGGCGTGGATTTATTAAAGAAATATTTTTGAAAAAGACTACCCTATCCTAGGCGTGGAATAATTAAAGAAATATTTTTCAGAGGGTCCAACTGAGGCGAGGATTTATTAAAGAAATATTTTTAGAGTGTCCGAGAGGCGAGGATTCATTAAAGAAATAATTTTAAAGGGTCCGAGAGGTGAGGATTCAATAAAGAAATATGTTTAGAGGGTCCGAGAGGTGAGGATTCATTAATGAAATATGTTTAGAGGGTCCGAGAGGTGAGGATTCATTAAAGAAATATTTTTAGAGGGTCCGAGAGGTGAGGATTCATTAAAGAAATATTTTTAGAAGGATTTATTAAAGAATATTTTTAAGGGCCAACTGAGGCGTGGATTCATTAAGGAAATATTTTTAGAGGGTCCGAGAGGTGAGGATTCATTAAAGAAATATTTTTAAAGGGTCCGAGAGGTAAGGATTCATTAAAGAAATATTTTTAAATGATCCGAGAGGTGAGGATTTATTAAAGAAATATTTTTAGAGGGTCCGAGAGGTGAGGATTCATTAAAGAAATATTTTTAGAGGGTCCGAGAGGTGAGGATTCATTAAAAAATATTTTTAAGGGGTCCGAGAGGTGAGGATTCATTAAAAAATATTTTTAAAGGGTCCGAGAGGTGAGGATTCATTAAAGAAATATTTTTAGAGGGTCCGAGAGGTGAGGATTCATTAAAGAAATATTTTTAGAAGTTCCGAGAGGTGAGGATTCATTAAAGAAATATTTTTAGAGGGTCCGAGAGGTGAGGATTCATTAGAGAAATATTTTTTTTATTTTTTCTATGTTCCCACTGTGTTTCACAACCGGTCCATTCATATGCAAATATAACTTATTATCCATTTAGCTGGACCATAATTAATATCCAAATAGAAATAATAATTTCATTATTATTTTTTTGTTGTTTTCGCAAATACAAAAAGCTAATTAAATAATTAGCTGCTAAAAATAACCATGCATGCAAAATGAAATCAATGCCTGGGCATATTGTTAGGCTTATTTAAATTGCACAAAATTTGTTGCATACTTTGCGGATTAACTTTTTGCGGTATTTTTGGGCATATAGAAAAAAAAACACAGCCAATCAGACAGAATTTTATAATTTGTAAATATTTTCTTTTCATTTTCCATTCTATTTTTTCCTCTCCATTCAAGGTAAAAAACGTATCAAATCATCTGAACTTTATCATCAGTCAAAGGTAATCTCCAGCGAAAGTGAGGAAAATGAAAATCCGGGCAAACGAAAAGGTAAGTAATTTTTGTACAAATGAAATAGGGAAAAATTGACACAAATTTAAATGAAAGCGAAAACTGTTCTTACCCCGCACAAAAAAAAATCAAAATTGAAATGAAAAAGGCCAACCTTTTGAAATGTGTCCTCCCCCACCGCCGTTTGGGCTCAAACCAAAGCAAACATAGTTAACACACAAAAATAATACCGAAATAAAATAACGAAATAATAAAAAGCCTCTGGAGAGCGATTAAATAAATAAAACGAAATATTATGAAGCAATAATACTGTGCAAACAGAAATCCGCACCATTTCCCACCCTCCTTTTTGGGGTTATGGTTTTTGGGGGGTTGAAAAGGTGTTAACGAAAGGTAAACTTCCAAAAGGGCAAATTTTATGGTTGGCATTTCTTGGAACAAAAAAACTCTTGGGGTTTAGCTTAATAAAGTGCAAATATACTGGGGAAAATTGTCTTATAATGGCATGGCAGAATTTCTTATTAAAATAAAAACTTGGCAGTAATGATAGGTAAATATGAAATGCCAAAGGTATTAAAACCAAGCGTGGGGTGGGGTAGTGGATGATATATACCTAGCAACGGCTCTGATTGGCTTTAACATGGCGAAGTCCAGGTTTATCCTGGTCCCTGAGCTGATATGTGTCGCGAGTTCACCAATAAGAATTATAAACAAGCAAAAAAGCGTTTATCCAAAATTTGCCTATCTAATTATTTCTTCCAAACTTAATTCAAATTCGAAGATGGGAAATATCGGTCCACTCCTTCTGGAACCTCCACACAGGGGCTAGGTTCTAAATTTGTATTATCTCGCTATCCTCCGCAGGTGAAATGATTTCAACAGAGTCATAGAACCAAACTCAAAACGCGTAACAAATCAGATACCTACTTTAATATAAACCAGTAAGGAAAGTAGTAAAGTCGGACAGGGCCGACTATATGATACCCTTCACCACTTTGGGTATGTTTTACATATGAATCCTCACAATTGCAAATCGAAGTATATATAGGGACTTTGATGCACCATTTACATAAAATCGAACGAAAATATATATGGGAGCTATATCTAAATCTGAACCGATTTTCCCGAAACGTAACACAAATCACTCTAGACTTGCCAAATTTCGTGCACATCGAATGATACCGAAAATTGGGGGTACTCTTATGTGGGGGCTATCCGAAAAATTTGACCTATATTTATAATTTTTTGTTGTGAGATTTGGTACTTACCAAGAACTCAAAATACTAAATTACAGCCAATTCGGTTGAAAACGCCCTCAAGAACCCCAAAATACCGAAAATTGGGGGTACCCTTATATGGGGGATACCAAAAAAAGTGGACTGATATTCATAATTTTTTGTTGAGGGATTTGATACCCAATAAGAACTCGAAGTACTAAATTACAGCCAATTCGGTGAAAAAAATCCGGTCGAAACCCCTCCAAAAACTGAAAATTTGGAGGTACCGTTATATGGGGGCTACCAGAAAAAGTGGACCTATATTTATAATTTTTTGTGGAGACACTTAGTACCCAATAAGAACTCAATGTATCAAATTTCAGCGTATTCGGTTGAGAACGCTTAAGAACCCCAAAATACCGAAAAATGGGGGGGTACCCTTATATGGGAGATATGCCTAAACGTGGAGCGATAAAGCCCAACTTCGAACTTGACCTGCCTGCAGACAAAAGACGACTCTATGCAAAGTATTTATCTCAATCCGTTTAGACGCTATAGTGATTACAACAGACGGACAGACGGACGGACGTACATGCTTAGATCGTCTTAGAATTTTACACTGATCAAGAATATATACTTTATAGGGCCGGAAATGATTATTTCGATGAGGTATAAACCGAAAAACGAAATTAATATACCCTCCATATTATGGTGGAGGGTATAAAAAATGGGTTGGGACGTTGGGTTAGTTGCCCACACAAGGAAAACCCCATCCTACTATGAAAGAGAAAAGAAAACCAAACCCCCTGAAGAGCCGCAAACATATAAAGGACCACGATCTGCGAATCTGCACTTGGAATGTGCGCGCGTTGTACAGAACAGGCGCAGTTCTCGCTTTGGCGGATATATTCAAGAAGTACAAAGCCGATATTATTGCCTCTCAGGAAATGTGATGAAAAGTAAATCAGATGATTACGCCCTGTAATATAGCTGCCATGAAACGAGACATGCATTTGGCTGCGGATTTATGGTCAACAGGAGAATAAAAAACTTCGTCTCCAGATTCACTCCAGTAGATGAGCGAATTGCTATAATCCGAATAAAAGCGAAGTTCTTCTACATCAGTCTTATTTGCGCCCATGCTCCGACCGAAGACAAAGATTAGCAGACCAAAGACATATTTTACTAGCGCCTAGAAACAGCATATGATCGCTGCCCTGGCCATGATATTAAAATTCTGCTAGGAGATTTTAATCCAAAAATCAGAAAGGAAAATATCTCTGGCCCCACCGTCTGAAAATTCACCCTTCATGAAGAAACATCCGGCAACGGCATAAGGTTGATTGACTTCGCGGAAGCAATAAACATGGTTGTTAGCAGCACTAGATTCGCGCATCTCGATATACACAAGGACACCTGGATTTCTCCTAATCAAGCAATGGGAAATCAAATTGATCATGTTGTGATACGGAAGGCATTCATCCAGTGTATTAGACGTTCCATCGATATGGAGAGCGAATATCGATTCGGACCATTACCTTAGGGCAACCAAGGTTCGCACCCGTCTTAATGTTTCAACAAAGGTGCGATCTAATAGAACACGGAAACTCGTCGTCGAAAAGCTGCAAACACAACAGGTAGCAGAGATCTACTCCGCTCAACTTACCCGCCTGCGTGACGAAAGCACTCCTTGTCCCGATAATAGTATAGAAGCACAATGACAAAGAATTGCCCACTACCTACAAACTGCAGCAAAAACAACACTTGGGTACCAAAATACCCCATCAAGAAACCCATGATACGATCAGGAGTGTCGTAATGCTACCGATGTGAAAAACGCAGCGTATAGGGCAAACCTGCAGACAGTAGCAGCACGTAACGTGATGGAGAATTATCGGGAGAAGGGGAGAGAGGAGAAGCGTGTTTACTGAAAAAAGAAGAAAGAAAAACATGAGCGTGAGGAAATCGAGATGTATTTTTATTTACCAACGAGTAAAACACCATACCGAAAGTTTTGGTGCTGGCTCATCCCAATGTAGGGATGAAGAAGGAAACCTTGTGACAGATACAGACAGCGTGTTGAGGATCTGAAAGGAGCATTTTGAAAGGCTTCCGGTATCAAATAGTGGCGGCGAAGAAGATACCCCAGAACCAATTAGAGATGATGGTATGGAGTGTATACCACCTAGCCAAGATGAGGTCATATAATCAATTAATCGGCTCAAGAACAACAAAGCAGCAGGAGCCGATGGGTTACCAGCCGAACTATTCATGACTGGTGGTCAGATGTTGGTCGGGACCATGCACCAGCTGATTAGTACAAGTTGGCTAGAGAATGATTGGAACCTCAGCATCCTGTGTCCCGTGCACAAAAAAGGAGACAAGATATTTGCCAACTATAGAGGAATAAGTCTTCTTCCCCTTCCATATAAAGTGGATAGTGTGCTGTGTGAACGATTGAAGCCAATGGTCAATGACATCATTGGACCATACCAATGCGGCTTCAGACCTGTCATATCCACCATTGACCAGATTTTCACTCAGCCAAATCCTGGAAAAGACCCACAAAAACACATCGACACACCTATTCGTCGACTATAAAGCCGCATTCGGCCGCCCTATCCGTTCAGAGATGTTTAAAGCCATGTCTACGTTCGGCATTACTGCAAAATTAATACGGCTATGCAGGATAACTTTAAGTGGCACAAGGTCAACAATTAAAGTCGGAAAGGACCTCTCGGAGCCCTTCAACACCGAACGAGGATTCGGACAAGGTGACAAGGTTTGTTGTGTGATCGTTTTAACATCCTGCTGGAAAAAAGTCATACGAGACGCAAAGGTGAACAGAAATGGCACTCTGTACACCAAATAACACACGTTACTCGCCTACGCCGATGACATCGACATAATGGGTCAAACATCGAGAGCGGTAACAGCCACCTTTGAACAAATTGAGAAGGAGTCTGCCATAGTGGGTCTGGCATCAAATGGCAAGAAGACCAAGCTGATGGTATCAACACTCAAGACGTCCAGTAGATTCGGACCAACTGTGGAACTTGAGAACTACAGTTTCGAAGTAGTTAAAGATTTTATATACCTTGGTATACCTTGGTACGAATGACATCAGTTTTGAAATTCGGAGATTGATAGTGATGGCCAACAGATGCTACTACTATGGTCTGAGTAACACCTCCCGCCAGACAAAACTCACACTTTAAAAGACGATGATACTACTCGTTCTATTATATGGATCTGAACCATGGGTACTTACGCAAGCAGATGAGGCAGCTCTTGGAGTGTTTGAGAGAAATATTCTCCGAAAGATCTATGGGCCGATCTGCGTTGACGATGAATATGGCAGTAACGGTCACCTTTGAACAAATTGAGAAGGAGTCTGCCGAAGGGAGCCTGGCAGTAAATGACGAGAAGACCAAACTGATGGTATCAACGCGTCCAGCAGACTCGGACCAGCTGTCGAACTTGAGAACTACAGCTTCGAAGTAGTTAAAGATTTTATATATCTTGGTAACGCCATAAATAAAACGAATGACAACAGTTTTGAAATTCGGAGAAGAATTGTGATGGCCAACAGATGCTACTATGGTCTAAGTAAGCAGTTTAGAAACAAGGCCACCTCCCGCCAGACCGAACTCATACTTTACAAGACGCTGATACTACCCGTGCTATTATATGGATCCGAAGCATGGGTACTTGCGCAAGCAGATGAGGCAGCTCTTGGTGCTCTGAAAAATTTATTTTTTCTGCGTCGACGGTGAATAGCGGCGTCGCATGAACCACGAGCTTTATAATTTATATGCGGAAATCGACATAGTCAGTCGGATTTAAAAAAAATCGAACACCTATATAAGGTGTTGATATTTCAAATAATTTTTAGGAGGACCTACACAAGGCATGGATTTTTTAAAAAAAATTAACAACACCTATATAAGGTGTTGATTTTTCAAATAATTTTTAGGGGGACCTACACAAGGCGTGGATTTTTTTGTAAATAATTTTTACAACTCCTATATAAGGTGTTTATTTTTCAAATAGTTTTAGGATGACCTACACAAGGCGTGGATTTTTCAAATAATTTTTAGGAGGACCTACACAAGGCGTGGGTTTTTTAAATACTTTTTTAGGGATCTACAAAGAGCTCGGATTTTTAAAAAAAAAATTAGGGATCTACAAAGAGCTAGGGTTTTTAAAAAAAAAAATTTTAGGGATCTACAAGGGGCTAAGATTTTTTAAAAGATTTTTTGTAATTAGTTAATAATTATTTAAATATTTTTCTTTAATTTCTCCTTTCAGATCTCTTAATGATAAACGAACTCGAAGATTTATATGCAAGTTCAGCGGTGAGTCATCATCATCATCGCCATCACGTCACTCAGCCGCATCGAACGTCACTTTTGCTAATAAGCATCACAACGTTAAGTGTGTGTCTGACAGTGATGCAACAACAACGACATTGACATCTTCAGATGACAATGCCGCCGATGTGATATTTCGGTTATGACGAAAACGTTGCCGATGATGATGCCACACGGAGCAATGCAACTACTTGTGTGGCAACTGACATCCATCCTCAGGCAAAAACAAACAAATATATGAAAATATAAATATGTTGTTGTAAAGAAGATGCAGACGAAGGATTACATATTAACCGGGCGTAAGGAAGGACGATTATAAAAAAATATAAAGGACTTGGACTTACATCATCAACAACCATCATCATCATCGTGAGCATCTGCAAATGGAAAATTTAATATTAAGTTGAGTATGTTAAAAATATATATGTATACATGGAGATATGAATATAAATATGTTGTATAAAAAGAGTTGAAAACAAAAAAAAAATACACACATACACACCCACACACATTCATAAACCGTGAGGTATGTAATTGAGTGTGTAGGTTATGTAAAAAACAATGAACAGGTCTTCGAGTAAAGTTTTAGGTTTGAAATGAAATTAAAAAAAATAAAAATAAAATATCATAATTAAATTTAATTTAAAACGGCTTGTATATGATGGTCATAAGACAAGGAACAGTGGTTTGATATGAACATTTCAAAAAAAAATTAAATTTTCATTATTTTTGAAAAAAAATGTTAAGTCCAAGAGTAATTATTTAGAGCCATTAATTTTTGATTTTTTTTTAATAAACATTTTCAAATTATTGACTTCAAACCAGTGTCCAAATGCCCTATTAAATCTAGGCTAAATCTAGGCTATATATTCGACTGAAAATTGTAAAGCCAGCAAAACAACCAGGGATAAATAAAAGAGATATAAATTAGAAAGAAATGAAGAAAAAAAAAAAACAACATCAGCATGCTCTTGAGAGAAGTATGTGTAATAAACTGTTGATGTTTTCGGACATAAGTAGTGTATAATTATATGTTTATGTATAAAGAAACAAACAGATGGCACACTGAAGGTATTTTTAAATGTTTGGATTTTTTATACCCTACACAACTATGTTGTCAGGGTATTATAGCTTTGTGCAGCCCCAAAAGTTTGTAACGCCGCGAAATATTGGTCCTAGCACCACCTTTAAGTATACCGATCGTCATATCTCGACTAGCTGAGTCGATCTAGACATGTATGTCCGTCTGTCCGTCTGTCCATTATAATTTGTAAACACGATACAGGCCACAGTTATGGACCAATATTCACAAAATTTTGCATGTATGATGGGTTTTGGCCAATGAAGACCACTATTGTTTTTGGAAAAGATCGGTTAACATTTAAGGGATGAAATGGACCAAATACATAATTTTTGTCTGTTTTTCTGGTCGCTCCAGAGGCCGCAATTATTGCCCAAACACCGCGAATTTTTGCATGGAGAAGCGGATCGGGCCAAAGAATAAGCATGCCTGATCGGTCAATATTTAGAGGGTCAAATGTACCCTGACTTATGTGTGAAAAATGACAAAATTTTTATTCTATGGCGTATATATTTGCCCCTGAAGGACCTACACCCGAGAAGTTGATAGTATGTCCAAGAGGAGTGGTTGAACTTTAAATTGATACCAATTGTATGGTCTTATGTACTCAGATGTGCGAGTTACGCTTAAATATTTACAGGTGCTTTTGTATTCAGTCATTATTTAGTAACCAAAAACCACACAAGAGGGAGAAATATAGCGCTGATCGCTTTGAAAATTTCCAGTTATTGTCAAGGACAACGCTGTTATCTGATGATCAGATAGTAATTTTGGGACGAAGTGGACCGAATACTTAACTTTTTGTGTGTGTTTTTATACCCAACACAACTATGTTGTCAGGGTATTATAGCTTTGTGCAGCCCCAAAAGTTTGCAACGCCGCGAAATATTGGTCCTAGACCCACCTTTAAGTATACCGATCGTCATATCTCGACTAGCTGAGTCGATCTAGACATGTGTGTCCGTCCGTCCGTCTGTCCATTATAATTTGTAAACACGATACAGGCCACAGTTATGGACCAATCTTCACGAAATTTTGCATGTAGGATGGTAAAGATCGGCTAATATTTAGGGGATGAAATGGACCAAATACTAAATTTTTGTCGGTTTTTCTGGTCGCTCCAGAGGCCGCAATAATGGTCCGAACATCGTGAACTTTTGCATGGAGAAGGGGATCGGGCCAAAGAATAAGCGTACCTGTTTTGATAAAGATCGGTCAATATTTAGTGGGTCAAATGGACCCTGACTTTTGTGTGAAAAATTACAAAATTTGTATTTTATAGCGTATATATTTACCCCTGAATGACATAGACCCGAGAAGTTGATATTATATCCAAGAGCATTGGTTGACCTTTAAATTAATACCAATTATATTGTTGTATGTGCTCAGATGTGGGAGTTACACTTAAATATTTACAGGTATCTCCGTATTCGTCTATTATAAGTAACCCATTATTACTCTAGAGAGCGGAACTATAGCTCTGATCGCTTTGAAATGTTCCATGAGGTTCCAGTTATGGTCAAGGACAACGCCTATAATTTTCGGTGATGATCAGATAATAATTTTGGAATGAAGTGGACCGAAAAATTAATTTTTGGTGTTATTTTCGAGTCAATCTATAGACCACAAATGAAAGCCGAACATCACAACACAACCCACGGTGAAGGGAATCTGGACAATATATGTACTGAATACTCGTAATATTCGGAAAATATGTCAGTGTGAGGAAGAGGAGCTGTTTACCTCTAATCGGGCAAGAGGGTGGAAATATCACGAAATATTGACCAGGCTCGGAATAAACATCCGCAGAAAATTTGAGTTCCTTGGTAGTTGTGTAGGGTATCGTATGGTCGGCCCCGTCCGACTATACTGCTCCGCTCACTGGTTTTTTTTTTTTTTTTGAGTCTACAGGCCACAATTGAAAGCCCAACATAACAACATAACCCACGTTAAAGAGAATCTGGATATGTACAGCCGTCGTCTACTGAATATTAGTAATATTTGTTGACCTTTAGTCGGGTTTCAGGAAAGTGCAAATAAAGCAAAGTTAGATTTTCGTCGAAATAGGTAGGGTATTATATGGTCGGCCCCGTCCGACTATACTGTTCCGCTCACTGGTTAATAATTATTTTTCATCAAAATGTTAACCACTACATTGGAGAGTAACTGGAAGGAGTAAACCTATAGTCTGCATTTTCGAACTCGAATGAACTTTATATACCATCAACCTTGATGTGGACATTTAAAATATAAACACATGGTCAGGGCCTCCATATGGAAGCTATGCCATGTGTAATTTGTTGTCAGGAGTTTATGGGGGCTATCACAAAAAGTAGACCAATATTGACAATTTTTGGTAAGAAGCTTTGATAATCCATGAGATCCTGAAAAAAAAAACAAATCAGATCCAATTCGGTTCAAACGAGCCAAACTCTCAAAAATACCGAATTTTTTATGGTAGGGAGATTTTCGGATTATATAGAATTTCCAATATTAAATTAGAACCGATTCTGATGAAATACGTGATCAAATTTCCTTAAATACTAAAATTTGGGATATTGTTATATCCATTTAAAGTTATAACCATAAGGCTCCGGGCTATTCTAAAAAGTTGCCCAATATTGATAGATTTGTTTATGGTGATTTCCTACCTAATGAAACCTCAAAACAAACAAGTGAGCGGAGCATTATAGTCGGACGGGGCCGACCATACGATACCCTACACAACTACCACGGAACTCTAACTTTCTGTGGATGTTTATTCCGAGCAGTGATATTTGCTCAATCTAGCCCGATTAGAGGTCGACAGCACCTCTTCCTTACACTGACATATTTTCCGAATATTACTATTCATATTCAGTAAAGCTCTTCTAATTAATTGTCCAGATTCCCTTCACCGTGGGTTGTGTTGTGATGTTGGGCTTTCAATTGTGACCTATAGATCGACTCGGAAAAACACAAAAAATTAATTTTTCGGTCCACTTCATCCCATTATTATAATGTGATCATCACCGAAAATTCCTCGTGGAACATTTCAAAGCGATCAGCGCTATATTTCTGCCCTCTATTGTGGCAATGGGTTACTAAATAATATCTGAATACGTAAGCACATGTAAATATTTAAGTGTAACTCCCACATCCGACTACCTACGACAATATAATTGGTATCAATTTAAAGACTAACCAATCCTCTGGGATATACTATCAACTTTTCGGGTCTATGTCCTTCAGGAGTAAATATATACGTTATAGAATACAAATTTAGTAATTTTTCACTAAAACGCCAGGGCCCATTTGACTCACTAAATATTGACTGATCTTTATCAAAACTTGCATGCTTATTTTTTGAACAGATCCCCTTCTTCATGAAAAATTCGCGGTGTTTGAGCCATAATTGCGGCCTCTGGAGCGACCAGAAAATCAGACAAAAATAAAATTTTTGGTCCATTTCATCCCCTAAATATTAACCGATCTTTACCATAAACAATTGGGGTCTTGATATGGCCGAACCCATCCTACATTCAAAAGTTCGTGTAGATTGGTCCATAACTGTGGCCTGTATCGTGTTTACACATTATAATGGACAGACGGACACACATGTCTAGCCGAGATATGACACTCGGTATACTTAAAGGTGGGTCTAGGACCAATATTTCGCGGCGTTACAAACTCTTGGGCCTGCACAAATCTATAATACCCTGGCAAGATAGTTGTGTGGGGTATAAAAATTGCAACCAATTCGTTTGAAAAAAACTTCTCAAACTACATAAATTCTCAAACTACGAAATTAATTTTTTTTCACTGTAAATTTATGTTTAAAATAGAGATTTTTTCCTTTTGTACAAACACATGTCCCAAATTTTTCTAATATGATAGCTTTGAGTTGTCATCACAATTATGTACCTACCCATGTGTAAATATGTAAGAAAAATTGCACAAAACAAACTGAATTAAAAAACAAAAATTAAATCATAACCTTAAAATTAAATGTAAATAATTAAGACTGTTGGAAAATCTATAA